GTGCTTAACAAACCGTTTACAACTCGAGAACTTGAATCCCACAAGCCTCGACACAACCGCTCGTAGATATGTCCTCTACAAGACTTCACAATCAAGCCTTAAGTCACATAAGTCTTATACAATAAGAAGAACAACCTTCTTAAGCCTCACAACAATAACTCCCACAAGAGTAGAAATGAGAAAAGATTAAGCTCTATGGATGACAAGAACACTCTCTTGAAAAACAATTAGTTTTTTCTCAAAATATATTAATTTGAGGAAGAAATGAATGAGGATTATAACCTCAAGATTGGGGGAGTTTATGAGTGCTTGTTCATTGTTAAAATGACCAAGGAAAGGAGTTTATAAGGGTGTCAAGGAATATGTCCGTTGGAGCTTAGAAAAAAGAGTTTGCTAAAACATGCAGCATAAAAATCGATTAATGCACCATGGTAATCGATTAATGCAGTCTGTGCAAAAATCCTTTAGCGGACAAATTGATAATCGATTTTTGCCAAAGTGTAAAAATCGATTTTTGAAGCAATTATGCCCAAACAAGGACACAATCATGTGTGCGAGGTGAAGTGCTATTTTGGAAATTAGCACTTGTTTAGGACATAAAAATCAAATCAAAAGGCTCCCCAATCAACAAATATAATTCAAATTCAAATTTGAATTATGAGAGTGTATTTTTGGTGTAGAAAATGAGTCCCAAAAATATTTTGTGTGTCAAACGATAAACACAAAAATATTTGAATAAAATATTTTTGCTTTCCAAAAATATTTTCTAATATCAAAATAAATATTTTGATAAATGTTTGACACACCTTTTGTAACTGACTCAATGAATGTATTTTGAACAGTTAAAAAGATTTTTCAACTGACTCCAAAAATTTATTATTTTTATATTTACTCTCATAAAAAAAAATTTGGAGAGAAGATATTTTTGTCATCCTTACAATAATTCCTAAGACTCAAATAAATAAAAAGTCTTCGGAAATTCTTCTACTCCTCCGAGTCCTCCGTTAGGCGCTTCGAACGTGTAACACCCCAATCCGTATAACCCGGAATTACACGAATTAAGGTGAAACGAGAGTTAAATAAAAATTTCACTTGACATTTGAATATGACAATTACTTAAAAATATTAAATTTACAGACTCTGAATCGCGACCCATTTAAAAATATTTTCAGAGTAATGCGGAAGTACAATAATAATCAAATCATGACACATTTTAAAATTTGTTGACCAAACATTGCCTGCCATCCTTGCATCTCCTCTGACTCAATGCCCTCCGGAAAAGGTTCCATCATTGTCTTCTTGTTACCTACGTGTAGTCAACGAAAAATACAAACTACACGCTCAGCGAAACCGCTGAGTGGTACTACGCTAGAATTGTAGAATAATTCATAGACATATACGTATATATATGTCCACAAAAATGTATAACAATATTCCTGATATGACACTTTATATCATATGGTCAATTTGATGAATCATGATGATAAATATTTAATGATAATTGCATGATTATGGCAAATTTAATTTAATCAATTTGATTGTTCTTGATGATGATTACATGACACCTATGTAATCAATATAATTGTTCTTGATGAGGATTACATGATGCGTAATTGATGTTACACATAGTCATGATGATTTTACTTGATGATGACTTCATGCTGTATGATTCTAAGTCAACAAGGAATGACCTTGCAACTATGAGATTCGCCCATTTGGTACGACGAACTCATGTCCTTCTTAGTCTCACGAGGGAGACTAGAAAAATAGGGGTGGTACTCGAAAGTCTGAATACCATGTACGTACACTAAGCCCGGTCAGGGTTGTCGGACT